AGAGAGAGAGAGAGAGAGAGAAAACAATCTGGGTGTCATTTGTATTTGTGTACTTATATGTATTAGAATAAAGTACAGACAGTACTTGGAAATTATAAACTCTGCATTTAAGACCAGAGGGACTTCTGGAGAGAAGAAGGAAGAAAATGAGGTAAGGGAAGGATGCAAAAATTGTTCTGTAATGTTTTCTTTCTCAATGGGAGATACATACTTGCTTATACTAAACATATTCTTCGTATATCACAACATTTCGTGTAAAAATATCCCTGTTCATAGAAAATTTAGATAATACTGATTTAAAAAAAATACGACAGCAGCAGTAAACCATAATCGTCATCTCCCTACCCTAGAGATAACTGTTACCATTTCCATGTGCATTATGTAGATTTTATTTTTTTTCAATATGGAATGATTCCGAATCTTGTGTGCCATCTTTGCCCAAGGATGATGTTCATCTTCTCTGTATTGTTCCAATTTTAGTGTATTTGCTGCTGTATTGAGCATTTTTCACACTCTTAAAAATAAATATATGTGATATAGCTCTTGTCCAACTCATTGTCCAACCTAGCACAGCAGGTAGAGTACAGCCACCTCTCTGGTGCCCAGAGGGACAGGAGGAAGCAAAGCACATGCCTTGTTCCCTCTCCCCCAACCCTTGACCCTGCCCCTCCTACAGGAATTAGAAGACAGGGCCCAGCTCCCAGATCTTTTCTGTAGGAATGTTGTTAAGTATTGTCGAGTCAGAATTGGCCCATAGCTGACATTCCAGCAGGTTTTCAGAGGCAGTAAATTGCGCAGGAGATTGCCCATCTTTTTCCTGCCATTCAAATTGCATACCTTTTCACTGGCTATGCAAGCTCTCTATTTGCCATTGATATAAGTTTCAGAACATGCAGAACAATCCTGGGTAATATTTATATATGTACACTGATGTGATATTGGTTGTTGTTGTTGTGTGCTGTCGAGTCGCGTGAGACTCATAGCAACCCTATATACAACAGCTCTGAACCCTGCTCTATCCTGTGCCAACCTCTCTGTCTCCAACACACGTACCCCTATTACCCCAGTCACTGAAACAGTCCATCTCACCAAGCCCTTCCTTCTTCTCCTGCGCTGTTCCTCCACCCTCCCAAGCATGCCGTCCCTCTCTAAGGACTAATCCCTCCTTGCAACATGTCCAAAGTATGTCAGACAAAGCTTCAGAATCCTTGCTTCCAAGAAGCAGCCTGGTTTCCCCCTCTCCAGGACGAATCTGTTTGTGAATTAAAATTTCACTTTAGAATTATAAACTCTACATTTAAGAACAAAGTGACCTCTGGAGAGAAAAATGAAGAAAATGAGTTATTTATAGGAGTAAGGAGGTGTATATCCTATGTGCCGCCCCATCACAGGTCAGTTTCCAGCAAGCATTCTTGTGAAATCTGTGGCCTTTAAAGACTTCAAAGGCTCTCTCAACAGGAGCATGACCCACTGGGTCTGGGTATTTAAAAGAAGATTGTTTAGAAGAGTATACCATTGCTTATGGATCAAAAGACTTAATGTCATGAAAATTATCAGCACTCGTAAAAGTGATCTATAGATGTAGATTCAGTCATCATTCTTTAAAGAGAAAAAGGAAGTAATCATCAACTTTATATGGAAGTGAACAAGATCTCTGTTAAGTAAAGCACGACTGTGGAATAAAAACAGAATAGGAGGCCTCACCTTTCCTGATTCTCAAAGCCTACTACATAGTCATGGTCATTAAAGCAGTATGTTGTTGGTACAATGACAGAAACATAGACCAAGGGGATAAGATTGCAAGGCCAGAAGTATATACAACCACCTGTGTGGTTGAACTTTGACAAAGTGATTAAATCTACCAAGAGGGGAAAAGACTGTATCTGTACCAAATAAAGCTGACAAAAATGGATAGGTATTTTCAGGAAACAGAAACAAAGTAATGCCTACTATATACTAATTCAAATGGATCAAGAGCCTTGGATTAAAACCTGAAATTATAAACATTATCAAAGAAAAAATTGTGGCAAATTTAGGAGTCCTAATCTCCTTCTGTGTGATTAACTGCCTCTGAAAATCCTCCAGAGGGTCAGTATGGATCAGTTCCAACCCTATGGTAAACAACAATAATCTGGCATAACACAGTTTATTACATTATGCAGATGACACAACCTTGCTTGCTGAAAATGAGGAGGACTTGAAGCACTTGTTGCAGATTATCAGAGAATATAGCCTTCAATATGGATTGTATCTAAATATCAAGAGAACAAAGATTTTTACCATTGGACCAATAGGCAGCATTGTGATAGATAGAGAAGAGACTGAAACTGTCAACAACTTTATCTTACTTGGATCCATAGTTAACACAGTTGGTGCCAGCAGTCAGGAGAGTAGGAGACACATTACACTGGGAAAGTCTGTGGTTAGGGGCCTTTCCAAATTACTGAGGAGTAATGTTGTTAGTTTGAGGACTAAGGTGCATCTGATTGAGGCCATGGTCTTTCCCATCACTTGCTATGCATCTGAGAACTGGTCAGTAAATAAGGATGACAGAAGAATTGATGACTTTGAGTTGTGGTGTTGGAGAAGAGTACTGAACATCCCATGGACTGCCAAAGGAAAATACAAATATCTCTTGGAGAGGGTGCAACCAGAGTGCTCTTTGGAGGCAAAGATGATGAGTCTTTGCCTCACATACTTTTGGCATGTTGCTAGGAGGGGTTGTCCCTTGGCAAGGGACATGATGCTCGGAAAGGTGGACAGTCAGCTGAGGAGAGGAAGACCCTTGAACAAGTGGATTGGCATGGTGACTGCTGCAGTGAGCTCTCATGTGTCAGGAAGTGTGAAGATGGTAAGGAGAGGAAAGGGTTCAGATCTGTTGTTCTTAGGGTCACTATGGGTCATACTGGACTCAGTGGCATGTAACAACAACAATCTGTGACATAAATAGACTATTCAGTTATTTTAGAAGTGAGAACTCACAATCTACAGTGGATAAACTAGACAGTTGGGACTTCCCAAAAAAGAAATCCCCTATGTTCATCAAAAGACTCCTTTAAAAAGAGCAAAAAGATAATCTACAGACTTGAAAAAAAGATTTGGCAAGGTCATCACCAATGAAAATCTTATCTCTAAAATTTATAGAAAACTCCAAAACCACAACAAGAATAAGAGAAAAAAAAGACAGTTGCAAAATGAGTAGAAAATGTGAATAAACACTTTACCAAAGAAGATGTTCTGATGACCACCAAGTGCATGAAGATCATTGGCAAACAGAGAGATGGAAATCAAAACAATGAGAAACCATCTCACAGCATTTGTTGTTTATTGTCTTGTTGATTGGAACTTGAATACGTTGATGGTGAGGAGAGATAATGGTGCAGTAGCACCACATTACCACGAAGTTTGGTACTTCCTTAGAAAATTGGAAATGGAAAGATCATTTGATGCTCTGATAGCCTAGCGGTAAGCAATTGCACTGCTAACCCAAAGGCATGAGGTTTGAATCTACTAGCTGCTCTATGAGAGAAAGATGGGCAGTCTTCTCTTATGCGATTTACTGCCTCTGAAAACCCCCTGGAGAGTTTGGGGGGAGGGGTTGTTGGCTTTTTAATTTTTATTTTTAGCAAAAAAAGTGAAAAAAGTTTATTAAAGCAATAAAACAGAGGCAGGAGTGGCATCCACTTCGTAAATAACGTGCCTCTGGAAACTCTATGAACTTTGATAAATGTCGATAGTTGTAGAGAGGTTTCAGGCTTTTTGGTCATAGAGTCTCTATGAGTCATGCAACAACAACAATAAAACACATGTGTAGCAGGTAAAAGATAGTCCATACAAAGGAGTTAAAGTTAAAAAGAAAGTACAGGGGAAAGGAGGGAAGGACCCCTGAAAGAAAAGGGTGAGACCAAACCATACAGCATGCTGTCAGCAGAAAGGGAGAGAAAGACCTGGAGGGTCTGTTTAAAGATGGCTCCCACTCAGCAGTACACAACAACCGTAGTTCCACTCGGAGGTATGTATCATAAAGAAATGACAGCCTTGACAAAAACATACATATGCACCTATATTTATTACAGCACTATTTGTGATAATGAAAAATGGAAACAACCCAAGTGCACATCAAGAGATGAATGGATAAAGTAGCTATGATGCATGCATATAATGGAACACTAGAGAGAAAGTACTAAAATGTATTTTAGAAGAGACTCTGAAAATTGCACTAGAGTACTGAGATGTCAAAACAATGTGAAGAGATGCTGAAGTAAAGAGCTGATTAGATTTCAAAAGGCAGCCTGAAGATAAAGCCAAGTATTAAAACAGAATGTTCAGAGAGCTGGAATTGGAGAATAAAAAGGGAAGAACTCACTTGGCATTTCTCAAGCTGAAAGAACTGAAGTACAAATTCAGACATAGAGTTGCAACACCGAGAGATGCTATGGGCAAGATCTTGAATGATCATTCAGGAAGCACCAAAAGTAGATGGAGAAAATACATAGAATCACTGTACCATAAAGAGTTGACTGACACTAACATATTTCATATGATCAAGAGCCAATGGTAATGAAGAAAGAAGTTGAAGCTGCAGTGAAGGCATTGTGGTGGGGGAGAGCAAGACCCCAGGAATTAGTGGGATACCAATTGACATGTTTCAACTAACAGATGCAGCACTGGACGTGCTCACCATCTATGCCAGGAAATTTAGAGGGCAGATGCCTGGCCAACTGAGTGGAAAAGATCCATATAGTTCCCATTCCCAAGAAAGGTGATGAGTAGAATGTGGAAGTTATTGAACATCATTAATATCACATGTAAACAATATGTTCCTGAAAAATCATCCAAAACCTACTAGAGCTACATAGAAAACTGCCAGAAGTTCAGGCTGGGTTTAGAAGAAGCAGTGGTAACAGGGATATCACTGATATCAGATGGATCCTGGCTAAAAGCAGAAAATATTAGAAGAATGTCTATGCTTTTTTCTGGCTAACATTGAGAATAATGCAAATTTCAGAACACTTAATTGTGCTCATCCAAAAGCAATTCCTAGAGTAAGAGGCTGTTGTGTGAACAGAGCAAAGGAACATGGTTTAAATGAAGATGTGCTTCAGGGTTTTATCCTCTCTCCATGCCTGTATGTTGAGTAAAATCACTTGAGAATCTGGATTTTATAAAGAATGTAGCATCAAGATAGGAAGATGACTCTCAAGAACCTGTGTTAGGCAGATGATAGTCTTCCTTGCTTAAAGTGAAGGAGATTTGGAACACTTGCTGCAGAAGATCCATGACTACATCCTTCCACATGGATCGCATCTCAAAATCAAGAAGGCAGTTCTCAACACCGGACCAACTATCATCATAGGTGGAGAAAATATTGAAATTGTCAATGACTTGATCTTACTTGGATCTACAATCAACACACTTGGTACCAGGAGTTCAGAGATCAAGAGATGTATTGTATTGGGCCAATTGGCTGTCAAGGACTTCTTCAAATTATTGAGGAGCAATGATGTCAGCTTGAGGACTAAGTTGCACCTGATTCAGGCCATGATCCTTTCTGTCACTTACTACTAACTGAGAGCTGGACAGTGAATAAGGGTGACAGAAGAAGAACTGATGCCTTTGTGTTGTGGCATTGGAGAAGAGGGCTGTGTATCCCATGGACTGTCAAAGGAACAATTACGCCTTGGAGAAAGTGCAGCCTCCTTGGAGGCAAGGGTGATAAAGATTTGTATCACAGATTTCAGGCATGTTGCTAGAAGAGGCTATTCCTTGGAGAAGGGCATCAGTAAAAGAGAGGAAAACCCTCAGCCAGGTGGATGGATATAGTAACTGCAGCACAGGCTCAAGTATGTCAGAAATTATAAGATTGGCACAGGATAGGACTGGGTTCAGATCTGTTGTTCATAGGGTCACTATGAATTGTTCTCGATGCTACCTAAGAATAACAACATGCAACAATAAAGAATTAGTTTGGGGAGGTGCGGGGGGGATTGTGTACCAATGAGGGAGTTTTTCTTTTGCTTTTCAAGGAGAGGAGCAAAGGGCGGGGGAGGGGTTTGTGCGGGGAGAAGGGTGCAACAATGAATGAATGGAATTCCAAAATCTCTGTAGATGTTCATTGAAATGAAAAATAAACAAACTAAATTAATAAAAAAAGGAATTAGTTAAACACTACATAACATGGATACATCTAGAGGACTTTATGATGACTCCAATAAGTTAGTCACAAAAGGACATAAGATAAAAACACAATTATGAAAAAGGTAAAGAAAAGTTGATACGGGGGCGGGGGGGGGGTTGGAAGGGCAGGAAAATCCTTGTTGGGTGATTACCAGGGAAGCAAAAGGGAGTAAAAATCAATAGAGCATTAATAGAAGTATATACGTATCAAGGTGAATGATGGGAAAGGGAGTATATAGTAAGGGAATGATGAACCCACTTTCCTAAAGAAAGGAAAGGTACAGAAAGATATAGGAAGATTAGTGGAAATCAGAATTATATATCAAGGAGATGAGAAGAGTGTGATTACGTTGTGGACATTGAAATTAATGTTCTAGAACAAATTTTTATGAATGGTTGGATAAAAAATAATTTCCTTAATAATCCTTCACTCAGGTCACAATTGAAAATTTAAAAAAATAATAAGGTCATAGTAATCTGGCAAAAGAGAGATCTATTGCTGGAGGTTTAGAAAGACCTTGGAGAACGTTGGGGGTTGAAGATAACTGTCACCTCTGTGGTTTGACATCCCTGCATCCTGGGTTCCTTGCCAGGGAGCTACTGAGATGGTACAGAGCTTTCTGGGGAACGGAAGGAGGAGGTAGAAGGGAGGTGCTGGGAGTTTTAGATGTTGGGGAACCCACTGCTGGTTAACTTTCCAGTTTTGCAAGTCATTGCCTGGCTGTGAAACAAAAATACAGCTGAGACCTGTGAGTTAACTACTCTGCATATGTTGTCCACTCTCCTAGTACACAAGTTCATGATTGCACTGCTGGATGCTAAGCACCAGGATATTTGCTTTTCTGCCTGTGGTGTTCTCCTGAATCTCACTGTGGATAAGGACAAACGGGTCGTCCTAAAAGATGGAGGCGGCATTACAAAGTAAGTTTCCCGGCATGGAGCCGTAACTCTTTAGGATTCAGAAGACTTCGTTTTCTAGGGAGTTTGGGCCTCAACTCTTGTCCTTCCTCTGTGGCAGGCTGAGCTGCAGAGAGTTTAGGGACGAAGTGGCAGTTGAGGGGTTTTGGTGACATATTCCTTAGGCAGTTGCTCTGCTAACACAAAACCAGTTTCTCTCTAGTGGTTCAAATCCGTCAGCTGCTCTGTTGTTGTTGTTAATAGATGCCATCGAGTTGAGTATGACTAATAGCTACTCTAAGAACAACAGATCTGAACCCTGTCTTATCCTGCGCCATCCTCACACTTCCTGACACACTAGTCCCCATGATGGCAGTCACCATGTCAGTCCACCTGGTAAAGGGTCTTCTCTCCTTCGCTGACCCTCCACCCTTCCCAGCATCATCTCTTTCTCCAAGGAATAACACCTCTTAGCAACATGTCCAAAGTATGTGAGGCAAAGTCTCCTCATCTCTGCCTCTAAAGAGCACTCCAGCTGCGCCTTCTGCAAGAAATATCTGTTTGTTCTCTCAGCCGTCCATGGAATGTTCAGTACTCTTCTCCAATACCACAGCCCAAAGGCTTCAATTCTTCTATCATCCCTATTCATTGTCCAGCTCACAAATGCATAGCAAGTGTTCACAAAGGCCGTGGCCTGAATCAGACACACTTTAGTCCTCAAACTGACATCATTACTCCTCAGTAATTTGGAGAAGTCTATAACTGCAGGCTTTCCTGATGCAATATGTCTTGTAACCTTGCTTGATGAAAGTGCAGAAGACTTGAAGCACTTCTTGCAGAAGATCAAGGAATGCAGCCTTTGGTGTGGATTGTGTCTCTATGTCAAGAAAACAAAGATTCTTACCACTGGACCGATAGTCAGCAACATGATGGATGGAAAAGAGATAGAAACTGTTAACACATCACCTTGCTTGGATCCACAGTTAATACCCAGGGTGCCAGCAGTCAGGAAATAAGGAGATGCACTGCACTGAGAAAATCTGCTGTTGGGGACCTCTTCAGATTATTGAGGAGTGATGATGTCAATTTGAGGTCTAAGGTGCCATGGTCTTCTCATTTACTTGCTATGCATCTGAGAGCTGGACAATGAATAAGGATGACAGGAAAAGAATTGAAGCCTTTGAGCTGTGGTGTTGGAGAAGAGCACTGTACATTCCATGGATGGCCAAGAGAACAAACAGATATGCCCTGGAGATCTTTTGGTCATAGGTTCACTATGAGTCATACTCAACTTGACAGCACCTAAAAACAACAAGGGAGAAAAATGGGCACTCTCCTCCTGTACGATTTATAGCCTTGGAGAACCCACTGGAGAGAAAGCTATCAGTTTTTTTCCAGCTTTACAGCAATGAACTTGAAGGTTTTTGATTTTTTGTGGAAGTGTTGGGCACTTCCAAGAATCCATAAATACGTTATTGCTACTTTGCTGCTACTTAAATCCTTAGATATGCAATTATTTAAATGATCCTTAATACATAACATATATATTACATATCATAGAAGGGTAACCATGATGCTAAAAATACTAAAATTAGTGACAGATCCTAAACTAATAATGTGTCAATTTGACTTTCACTATTAACTCAGGTTAGTGGACTGCCTAAAAGATTTTGGTCCTACTGACTGGCAGCTGGCCTGCTTGGTTTGCAAGACTTTATGGAATTTCAGTGAAAATATCACTAATGCTTCATCATGTTTTGGAGATGAAGACACCCACACACTCCTACTTGTATTGTCATCATTTTTAGGTAAGACTCCTGAATATAAGCCTGTGAGTTTATCAGAGTGAGGTTTAAAATATCTGTGACCTGTATGGATAGAGCATACTGGTAGCATAATCTGTAATATGTCGTGTGACTAAATGGAAGCACAAGTCCACCAAGTATGTCTGCTGGCAAAACAAGAGCAGTCTCCTTCCAGTGCAATTGACAGTCACAGAAACTCAATGGAGGCAGAACTAATTTGACAGCATTGAATGTGCATGGTAAAGAGTCCAGATAGTGCAGTCGTTAAGTGCTCGACTGTTAAACAGCAGGCCAGTGGTTTGAATCCACTAGCTGCTCTATGGGGGGAAAAAGGAGGCTGGTGGCTTCTGTAAAGATTTACAGGCTTGCAAACTCTATGGGCTGTTCTTTCTGTCCTAGAAAGTTGCTATCACTCAATACTTACTCAGTGACAATAGGCTTGGTTTGTTCTGTATGAATTAATATTGATACTCATTTGTGTTGATATATCTCTACAAGCAATAAGACCATGTTAAGGATTATTGTAATTTGCGAGTTTCTGCAAAAGGCACCTCTACTGTTATTTAGGGAGCTCTGGTGGCCTAGTGACAAAAAGCTCCACTGCAATCCCAAAGGCACATGGTTTGAGGCCACCAGCTGCTCTGAGTGGAAAAGGATGGGCAGTTTCTTCTTGTGTGATTAACTGCCTCTGAAAACCTGATGGAAGGTTTGTGGGTTGGTTCCAACTCTATGATATACAACATCGTCTGTTATTTACAATGTGGATGTAGAGACTTGTACTTCACTGACTATTGTTGTAGGTTTTTCCTCTGGCTCACCTTTTTTAAAAAAAAAATTTTTTTTTTTTGCATTTTCTGTAGACTGCAGGAAAACAGGATTCTGTAAACTGCAGAAGTACAAGGCTGTTGTTTAAAAGTGCAGACATGTTGTTGTGAATAAAGAAATAGGCCTTAAAGTTTCTCTAAATCATCATGTTTAAATGAATTTATATACTTTTCCCAGAAAATAAATATATATTTTACTTGACAAAGTGTAAATAGTACAATTTTACATATGCAGTAGTTTTTGAAAACTTCTTTTGAGGGGATAGGAGTTTTAAGTTGATTTTGAGTCATTGTATAAAATTAGTGTGGGTAGCCTGAGAATATCTGCCCTTTGCTAAGTGCACAAAAGGGTACTATCAACAACATCCACAATAGAAAAGTTTTTCCTATAAGGCTGGACATTATTTCCAATGCTCCTGAACCTACTTCTACTAATTCAACACCAATCTTCCTTTCCTATTGGGCCTGAACTCTGTTACAATAACCACACAGATCTCACAGAACCACACTCATAGTTATGGGGTTTATTAGGGAACAGGTTACATACAGTTCAGTCCAGGCAATTTCTCAAGTATGCTCACAGGTCCTTTGACCTGCAGCCTCTTGCATTAAGTCAGTGTTATAAAGTTCCTTTGTTGTTGTTATGTGCCATTGAGTCGACTATGACTCAGTGACCATATGAACAATAGCTGTGAACCCTGCCCTATCCTGAGTCAGTCTCACTGTCTCTAATACATCTGCCCCTAATTGCCACAGTCACTGAATCAATCCATCTCATCCAGGATCTTCCACTCCTGTGCTGACCCTCTACCCTTCCAAGCATGATATCCTTCTCCAAGGATTGGAGCCATCTGGCAGTATGCCCAGAATAGTCCTACCAGTTATGGCATCTTCTCCAGTCCTCCAGCAGGCGTGGATGAAGTCTCCTGACTCTGACTCCATGAGCAGCAGTCCCAAGTCACCTGTGCCTCATGTCCAGCTCTGGTTCTCTGCTGAGGCTGCTGGTGCTCTCCTGTAGGTCCTGGTCTGACTGGTGTAGGAATCTTTAGCCCCAGAGGGCTTGTGCTGTACTCCTGCTTCTTCTTCCTTGACAATAGTGAGATTCTCACGTTTACTGCTGACTCTGCTCAGTTCAACTTTGTGAGATTGGAAAAGCTGATCCATCCTATAATTATTACTTTATACACACCCTATTTCCACTTATGTGTTCAAAGTCAGTGGCTTTGAACACCATTTTAAACAATAGAGCTTTGATACAACATATGGTGACCCACATGGTGTGTCAGATTAGAGCCGTGCTTTCTGAGGAATTTACACATTTTCACTAGCAGTTCTGTTATTGTGTGATGGTGGTGGTAGTAGAAGGTCTGTGAAACTATTTGGCATTATAGTATAGTCCTTGTCTTTGAAAAGGTCAGAACATATTGATACAAAAGGGAAGAAGGTAGTATCTAATTTTGAAAAACATGTTCCCATTGTTTAAATAAGTTTTCATTCCAAATTAGGTCTAAAAACATTGATTTGTAAATTAGTTGAGCATTTTAAAAAATCTTTTCCAAAATGTAGGCATTGGCCCTACCATTGCCTGACCACTGTGTGAATCATCAGGGCTCTGTGGGAAGGTCACTGTTACTCAAAAGCCTTGCATTAAATTCCTGGCTTCACTGGTTATAGGATGCCTGTCTTTCATCTGTGAAATAGGGGTGATGACAATCCTGCCATGCGGAATTGTCGGGATTAAACAAGAGCATAATGGAAAGACAGTTCCGAGTCTTGGCTTTATTACTTAAAACAAGTATGAATTAGTTTGCCTTGTTTTTCACGTGAAATATATGTGTTATTTCACAATATACAATGTAACATATGTTATTCTGTGCTGTCAAGTCAGAACTGATACATAACTGACCCACCAGCAGATTTTCAGAGACTCTAAATTACTTGGGAGGAGATTGCCCGTATTTCTCCCTCAGAGCAACTGGTGGATTTGAACCACTTGCCTTTGGATTGGTAATGCAACTCCTTACCCACTAGGCCACCTTTAGCTCCATAAATATATTTATGTTGTTGTTGTGTGCTATCACGTTGGAACCAAACCATAGTTGACACTCCACTGGGTTTTCAGAGGTAGTAAATTGCACAGAAGAGACTGCCCATCCTTCTCCTATGGAACAGCTAGTGGATTTGGATTGCATGCCTTTGGGATTGCAGCATAGCTTCTTACCACTATATATTTGCCAACTCAGCAATTTTTACATGTGTAATTCAGCACTATTATTTATAGTCATCATATTGTGACCCTTACCACCAGCCTTTTCCAAATTATTCCACTCCAACTAATTAAGCCCAGGGCCAACTTCTCCTATGCCTCTCATTTATACTCTTGGTAACCACTAATAAGCTTTGGCTTTTATACATTAGTCTATTTCACAGAAGTGGGGCCATACAATATTTGTTTTCTTATAAATGGCTAGTGTTATTCAGCATGTTTTCAGTGTTCATGCTGTAGGGAATATCAGGACTGCATTTTTCTTTGTAACTGAGTAATGAGTGTACAAGTTTTTCAACCTTGAGTTTAACCTCTTAGAATTTATACTTAGACAGAAGATAACGTCCACCTTGCACGGTTCTTGGGATGACTCAATGCATAGATGCATAAAAAGAGCTAAACACAGGCCTGATGTGTGGCGGTTTCTTGAAAAATGGTTGTTTAGGTGCTTTCGCCATTCTAAGTGCTACTGTTGTTGTTAGGTGCCACCCGATGGACTGCAAGGCATAGCAGTCCTATGAACAACGGATTTGAAGCGTGCCTTATCCTGCACCGTCTTCACCAACTCTGATATGCTCGAGCCTGTTGTTGCAGGGACTCTGTCGATCCATCTTGTTGAAGGGTCTTCCTCTCTTTCTCCGACCTTCCACCTTTCCCACCATGTAATATCTTTTTCCAAGGATTGGGCCCTCCTGACAGCATGCTAAAGTATGGGAAACAAAGTTTCACCATCCTTCCCTTTAAGGAAATACCCTGGTTGCACTTCCCAGAAGACAGGCCTGGTTGGTCTTTTGGCAGTCCAGGAGGTAGTCAGCTTTCTTTTCCAATACCACATTTCCAAAGCATCAATTCTTTGGTCTTATTCATCCTCCAGTTTTCATATGCACAGGAAACAATTGAAAAAGCTATGACTTTGATCAGGCACAATTTAGTGTTTAAACTGATATCCTTACTCTTTAGCACTTTGGAGAGGTTCTTGATAGTAGATTTTCCCAATGTAACATGTCTTTTATTTCTTGGCTGATGTTTTTTTTAGTTTTTTGCTATTTCTTGAGTGTTGATTGTGAATCCAATGAAAATGAAATTGTTGACAAATTCAGTCTTTTCTTCATCGTGATCCAGTGGCGATGATTCCCCCCACCCCCCTTGGTGTTGAGATGGAATCCATATTGAAGGCTGTAGTCTCTCATGTTCTGCAACAAATGCTGTAAGTTGTCACTTTTACCAAGCAAGGTTGTGTCATATGTATAATGCAGACTGCTGATAAGTTTTCCTCTGATCCTGGTGCCGCATTCTTCATAGAGCCTGACTTCTTGAATGATTTGCTCAGCATACAGATTGAATAAGTATGGAGAACATACAACTCTGATGCACACTTTTTAAACCATGCACTATTCCCCTGCTCTGTTCAGACAACTGTTTCTTGGTCTAGTTCTAGGTTTCTCATGAGCACAATTAAATGTTCTGGGATTTCCATTTTTCTTATGTTATTCATTATTGTTGATTCACATAGTCAAATCTCTTTGTGTAGTAGATAAAACACAACTCAGAATCTGAAGTTCTTTGAAGAAAATTCAGGTTTTCTGATGAAAGATTGGTGTGAAATTCACTTTATCCAGGTGTGTGTGTGTGTGTTTGAGAGAGAGAGAAGGAGGTTTGAGGGTAGACAGAGCAAGAGAAAGAGAACAGAGTAGGGGGGGAAGTGAACATGATTTGGAGGTCTTTCACACTAAACTTCATACATACTCTGTGAAAAATAACCTTTCTCTGATGTAGAAACAGATTCCCTCTCCCCAGTCATCCAGCCAGGTGGCTGTTGTTGTGTGCCATCGGGTTGGAACTGACACATAGCCGACCATCCTGTTCATGGGAGGAGATTGTCCATCTTTCCCCTGTGGAGTGGCTGGTGGTTT